GAAGAGGCAAGAAGCAAGAATATTCCAAGTGGTAGGGCAAATATATACAAAGGTCCACAAGTGAAATATCATGGCTTATTCCAGAAACTGAGATAGCTGAGATAATTTTGTTACAGAACAGGCAAACATAACTGCTGGGCTTGAAAAGCAACACTAATGAGGAGAATGCTATGCTAAAGGCAAAAGGAAGCCTTGGAACAAAGTTAGGAAGGGTTTAACAAGAGTACAAAGCAAAGGAGAGAAGATTTGTAGGTCTGGAAAACAGAGTTAACACTTCAGGCTAGTCATTCATTTAACAATAGGTTAAAGAAAGAACTAAAAAGTCAGCTAATAGTAGAGAAGCTAGATAAGAAATGTTTGTTTAAGTTGGCTAGCTTTCATGCATATTTAACTTAGATGGATGGTTTAACTTAGTGTCTTTGAAGACATTACCTGGGTGACAAGCAAAGTAATTCATTATTGAGGTTATTTGTCAGGACTTCTAACAAAACCATGCAGCATTTCCCTAGTAGAGATCAATAATCCAGTTAAAGAATAACTGGTTGGTAGAAAACAAAATGATAAAATGAAATGTGACTAGTTAGTAGAAAATCAAGTGACACAGCAAAAACTGAAATATGTGAAGAGAAAATAACCTTAATACAAATTGTTAAGAGTAAGGCTACACCCATTTTTATTCATGGGTACACTTTGGCTAAATTTTTCAGGGAACCACTCCTTACAAGTAATATAAGTATTTTAATATCTAATAAAACCTAGAATTAGGCTGTTTGGTAATGATATAACTTTAGTAATGATTTTGATTTATGGGATTGATATGTTTAGATCTGTATAGATATATTTAGATATGGTAATATTGCAGAGTTAATAATGTGAAATAAACCAGACCGAATCTGAATAAGAGCAATTTAAATAACTTGACCAAATAACCTCATTTATTTAGCAAACGAGCATTAATTGAATTCGTTCAGCTATAAACCATGTCTCAAACACGACAATACTATAAGACAAGTTCATGGAAAGCCAAGCTTAGTCATTTTAATAAAAGAAATGATTCAAATTGACACCTAATGTGAATGTGCTTCTTTTACCAAACTGCAAGACTGAAAAATGAAAGATAATATATAGTGACTATCAAAGGTCCTTTTTGCTTTAACACTGTCCTACCTACCTCCCAAGAAGAATAATCTCTAATAAATCTTTCTGACACAAAATGGGGGCAGGGAAAGGGGAAAGTCTAAAATATAAACAAAGTCCTTCAAGTTGCAAGCTGTCAAGTTAACACCACTTCCAAGTGTAAGCAGATACCGTTTTCCCACATGAAAAGTTTACTGTGAGGAATATTTTCAAAAGCAAGACACTTGGAGTAAACAGTGGAACAAAGGAGAACTATTTTATTCAAAAGCTTGAGCACATGTGGAACCTGTTAAGGGGATGGTGCCTGTATAAAGAACTACAAAGCCCTTACGAGACACCTAGGCTGCCTTGGAGAGGAAGGATAGAGGAAAGAGTGGTTAGATAAGGAGACAAATGGGCCAAAGATCAGTCAGATGGCAGATGGTCGTTTCTGTTCCAAAATGTTCAAAGTTAAGGGCCACTCCTTAGCATGCTTTATTTCATACAAAGAGAGAATTAAGAAGAAACCAAAGGTCTGTCAGAGATCTTTTCTGGATTTACTTGTGTCATTTTTTGGCTTGTTTGTGTAACTCATTTGCCATGTCTTCCAACTGAGGTCCTCACTTGGAGCTCTCTTCCTAAGGTTCAGTTAAAAGAGGATTAATTAAGGGCCCTCCCTGGTGGCGCAGTGGGTTAAAGCACAGCACTAAGAAGCTTAAGCCACTTCCTCATGAGTTTGATCCCTGCCTGCCCTGGAGGTGACCCACATGGTGTGGCAGACCTCTCCTGACCTGCCCGCTGCTCCCCTCAGCAGTTCTTCACCAGTCAGCCTGTCTCTGGCTGACTCTCCACTGCCTCTGGTGAATCCTCTCACTGCCCCCGCACCTCTGGCCTGTACCCCAATTCTGTAATGCATAAATAAATAAATCTTTTAAAAGAGTGGATTAATTAAGAATTAGATTCTTTTCATTTTATAGTTAGGGAATTTCTCTCCCTCTGAGGAAAGACGAGATTTCTTTTTGGACAAAGTACAATGCTTACTTATTTACCTTGTTCAGGACTAGCCTAGACAGTGAACATGGTATATAGGTATATATATCTATATACATTTCTATATCTATATCTATACCTATACATTTCATCCTCCATTAAAAATTAGTGGACACAGAATAAAAAGCAAAACTGTTGAGATGGTTTGCTTTGCATAGTGGACTCATGACATCTGATGAGTCAGGTTCACCTGAATAGCACCTGACAAGGAAGATAAATTCCCTAAGATACTTTACTGATCCCACACCACTACCACAAACAAGACAATAATCTAATCTGTGTCATTAACCAAGCTCACAGGAAGTATAAGACCTTATTCTAGACTCAGTGAGAAACAAAAAGCAAGTAACAGAACCATTCCTTGAAGAGTTGTACCACCCCTGGGGAAACCAGGATAAACATCTAGTTACAGAAAAACTCCAAAAATCAATTCTACAACAACCAAGGAAAGACTGAAACCTTTCTGGGACTTGGCCCTGCCCCATCAGTCTGCAACAAATGACAGACTTTCCATGTTTTTCACCTGATCAAATGCAGCTATTTCAGGCTCAGGGCCAGAGCAGGCACCCGGCCAACAGGTATACTTTGAAATGAGCTGCAGGTGGGGTAAGGCAACAAGAAGTGCCAACAAAATAGGCCAAGTCCTTAACATTCCAGCTTCTGTAACAGTCAGCAGTTCAGAGGTCTTGTGCTTTTCACTAGGCCATTTCTATGAGTAAGTTTGTAGAGGGAGGACTTAAAAAAGTCCTTTTTAATGTTTATGTCTCCTTATAAGTTAAATGAATAAAGACAAAAATGTCTATCCTCAATTACAGTTAATATGGAAAAACTTACACCACACAAGCACTTCTAACAGACTAAAACTATTTCCCGGAAATAATTATACATTTCAGCAAAATGAAAACATACAGAGACAGCGATTACAGATGCACCATCCAGCCAGGACACATGGACAAAAGAATACTCCTCCAAGGGGCATGATATGTACATGCCTTCTGGACTAGAATTTATGGACAATCCACTTTCCCCATTGTCCTGCACCTTGCCAACGGACCTACTTCATGCACTCAAATGACAAATAAATTTGATTAATTATGAGATGTAAGGAAAGAGCACAGACAAACCAGGATGTATTCTGGAGTTGCAAATGACAAAAGACACTAAAGGATACTCTAAAGGGAAACTCCTCTTAAAGACATGGAGGTTCCAGGGTTTTCTCCGGTAGTGCAACGGGTTAGGATGCAGCATTGCAAGCTAGCCGCAGCTGCTTCAGTACAATCTGGATCCCCCAACCCGGAGGTGACCCACATGGCGTGGCAGACCTCTCCTGACCTGCCCGCTGCTCCCCTCAGCAGTGCACTTTGTCGATCTGCCTGTTCTGCTCCCCACTCTATTTCTGGTGAATCTTCTACCGCCCCTGCAACCTCTGGCCTGTACCCCAATTCTGTACCTATAAATAAATCTTTAAAAAAAACCCTCATGTTCTTTAAAATATGATTGTGGGGAATAAACACATGCACACTTCTTAGTATAAAGATGGATACAGAGCAGAAATCATTTGTCAGTGGGAAAGAGCACAGCGTGCTTTCTTGAACACAAGAGAATGTCCAAATGCAGTGATTGCTTAAGCAGCCATCTATGATGAACTTCATATTTTGCCAAGTTCATTAAATCTAGATGACTGGCTGTTAGCTATAAAATTCAAGCATCTTGTAATTCACGCCCAAAAAGAGCTAAAAACTGTTCCATTTTTACTTTCATTTGTCTAATTTAGAATTTAATTTACACTTAACATCTAGCCCAGTGGATCCCAGACTTGCACTTTAGAATCACCTAAGATACTTGGATATTTAGCTTTAATGAATCTGGCCTGAGGCCAAGGCACCAGTTGTTTAATTACATCCCCAAGGAGTTCCTAAAACAGTCAGTGCCTAGAATCAGGAAGACAGCCAATTTCTAAAGAAATAGATGCACATATTTGCTACTGGAAGCTCAATTTCACCTGTCCTACCAAATAAATTTTCTCCAACCTACTCAATGTTGTGACCATATTCCAAGTCACTCCTTTCTGTAGAAAAATACTGAAACCCAGATAAGTATCTGCAGAGTTTGAAGGGTAGAAAGGACAAGAGCATCACTCAACACCCTTTTTAAGGTGGATAAATGAGCACTTTTACCTGGATGAAAAGGAGTCATGAGTATAGCAAATTTCCAGTAGAGTTAATTAAGAAAGTATAGATTGAAGCACTTTTCTCTTACATTTCTTTGTTCTTTGAAGCAATAAAAAGCAAAGATAACAATCTGAAAGACAAACTGGAGCTAATTCAGTGGATTATGCACTTTTTCTTTTGAATGGAAATCTGATTGGTACCCTCTCCTCTTTTATTTATTTTACTTAAACATACAAGAGTTGGGGTGCAGGCCAGAGATGCAGGGGGGTCTGAGAAGATTCACCAAAGACAGAGTGGGGAGCAGAATAGGAAGATTGACTGAGATACACTGCTGAGAGGAACAGCGGACAAGACAGGAGTGGACTGCTGAGACATATGTGGGTCAGCTCCCTGGCCGGGGATCAAACTTGTACTGCAGTGGCTGGAAATAGCTTGATAGTGCTAAGACTGAATCCCTTGTGACAACAGGCCCCCTTTCTTTAAGATTTTAAGGAGAGTCATGGGTAGTTGCATGAGTTCTCATATAAGTCTACTCTAACGTCCCTCTATTTTACTGAATGACCCTCAACAAGTCACTTGTCTGGTTTCCAATTTATGTACCTCTGTAATATGCAAAGGGTGCCCTAGGTCCTCGAATCGATATCACTTTCATTAGAAACTTACCAGGGTGCTGCCATCGGTCCAACGGAAGTCATGTTCAAACATCTTGTCGTTGAGGCCTATCCACTGGTAATCATGGCCCAGACCTAAGGGATGGGAAACAGCATATAGTTTTATTTCCTCTCCCACTAAATATAATTTCATGACAGTTATTTTTAAAGTGAATCATGTATTCCCTTTTCTGACTGGAGTTTTGTTTAATTGCTCATAAAAATCTCTCTTTTGTTCTTCTGCCCAATGTACTTTAAATTAAAATGCTAATTTGCAAATACTGTGAACTTTTATCAAATGTAAACAAAAATTTCCTAGCAGTTTAGCTAATTAAGTATTTTTTCCATTTTCAATCATGATTGTAACTTCGCATTTATTTTTTGATTATCTATGCTGTTGGCAAAAATTCAGTAGCCCAATAGAATGGGACAGGTCTTAGCCATGTAAGCTTCATATGCTTCTTCTCAAAGCATTTTAAGCAGTAAACACCCAGACCAAACTATTCTGCAAAAAATCACCCTCAAAATAATTACCGTTGCTATGAGATGAGTCATTGGCAACAATACTGGGCAAAAAAGTTCAATGAATCTCTATCCAGATTGCAAGTTAATAATCAACTTCTAAAATAAAGCAGGAATCATGAGAAACTCTGTAATAAAGCATCATGCAATGTTTCATGAGGAAAATTTTTTACATAAAAGCTTGCTATGTTCCCCTTTGCAGTATAGTTTGAGTAATTAAACTGCTCCAGGATTCAGTTTTATTGCTTTCAGTCTCCAACTAGTCATGTCCATAATAAAAAGTCTACTTCCTATGGTCTAAAAACAATTAGAAGTTTGCATAAGACTAATTTTGCAGAGGATAAGCTTAGGGTATTCTTAACAATTTTAATTAGCTGGACAAAAATAATTGAAAGTGATTTCTCATTAACTTTAAACAACACATGTCCATGTGCAAAATAGAGACCCACAAAGTAACCATGAGAACAATTAGACTGAAACATAAGAAGTGGCCATTTTGTAATTTGATCTAAAAAAATAATAATACTCTTCCAGCAATTTCTTACAATTCAACCTGATGCAAGGTTTCACCTGTGACTGCTGGCTTAGGTTCTGGCTGGCTGAAAGCTTCCCGAGTGGGGCGGGACTCATATATGAGGAGTGATTCCAAGTCAAGGACAGTAGAGGGGTTTAGATGTATAGCTGAAAACGTTACTTCTTTGCAGTTAATGTTAAAATTAAGAAGGTGATGAGAAGGAATGGACCTTCAATAAACCATGTGTCTTTGGTACATACGGTTCACAAACATTTGTTCTTCATGAGAGAGAATGCTGGCGAGATGGGCACCCTGCAGACGGCATTCGCGTTCCGCAGCGTCCCACGTGCGGCGATGGGCAAAGTATTTGTAGCACTGCCCTTGAAATTTGTGCCAGCCGTAGTCACAAGTCTCCGTGTCTAGGAGGAAACCAAGGCTTCATTAAGTTCACCAACATGATTCAGATTTGATCATCATTTGCAGTGTTAATAGAAGACCCGGGACAATATCAAGGCAGTGTCCCTGAAGTAGCTGAGTAAGAGACTTTGGTCACACTGACCAAGAGATTACACTAAAGGGAGCCCAACTGCTTCCTGCAGTGTGGGTGGCCCTATATCTTTTGGGCTGAAAAGGCAGTATCTAACTGTAATTTCCTTGATTAAAGCCAGTTTCAGCAGGAGAGATAAATGGAAGAAAGGCCAGTCAAACCTGGACCTTGTAGTCAGTCTCTTGACTTAATGAGGGAAGCCATTCAGGCTAATTCCTCATCAACACAACTTTTCTAAAGAGAATCATTCAAATGATAAGATAAGAATTCTGGCTATCAGGATCATGAATGTTCTGTTTGCACATGGACTTCAAAGGCTTTGGAAAGCATCCTTTTCAACTTTCTGTGGAGATAGCTGAGTTGCTACAGGCTCTTGTGAGGTAAGATTTAAAAAGAGAGAGAGAAAAAAAAACTACAGTGGTAGACAGCTTCTGCTACACATCTTCGGAAGTGTGCTTTTTCGCAAAAGGAGAAGGAATATAGATAATTCCCAGTGCAAACCCAGGAGGACTTTAACTTTACTAATAATGAAATAACCAAAATTCTTTAACTTAGTATCTTTCATTCCAGCAAGCCATCTACATACCGGCATATTTATGTGAATATACACATATTAGTTACATTTCTCTTCCACAATAAGCACACTGTAACTAGTTATCCTGCTAGGATGAAAACAACTTTCAACTATATCTAAATTTTAGGCTAGGTGCAAAATCAGTTATATTCTCGATTGCCCGTTTACTGTACGTTTACAAGAAATCAATCTTGCTCCTAACATATTATCATTGGTCATCTTCAGACACATATACAAGGGGTGGGTCAAACAATAGTGTTAAATGATGGTCAACAGAAATAATTCTGACATTCACAAAATTATCTCCCAAATAGATTAAGCCTGTCAATACATATTGATTTATATTACATATAAAATTACCACTGAATGTTCCTAGAATTCTAAGAACTTTCAAGATTAGCTAACAACCATCCCCAATTTTACTCCCTCTCCTAATTTTACTGATCAATGAGAAAAAAAAAATCTATACTAGAAGAAATAGTACTTATGTACTAGGATAAATGCTAGTTTTATACCTCTGACTTGATGGCGAAGTTGAAAGTCAGATTATCTCTTGACTTTGATTACTCCTTTTTTCTGTAAATGTGGGACAGCATGCATTCTGATTCTATTATTTCCTGATTTCACTGATTTAGACCACAGTCATATAACAGACGTAGTTTATCGCTAGAGCAGTCTTTATTTCAGTTTAGTCTATCAGGCCGTTGTTTAGTTACAGCCAGATGACTAATTGGTTTTAATAATGTGTACTGGAAGTTTAGAGTTTTATTATCATGTTGTTTGGAGATCACCAAATCTCAAAGGAAAGTACCCAAGACACAGCTAGATGATCTGGTATAAAAGTAACGCTCAGCACCCAAGAGTGAATCATATTTCAGCTACTTGGATGTTGCAATTTTCTATTGGAAAGTTCACATGACAAAATTTAGAGGTGAATTAGGGAAGATGGGGAGGAAACAAGTCTTTAATAAATGAAGGCATTAGGTTATAGAGAGCAAGAATTGGGGAAATTTTTAACACAATCTCACTGTTAAAGTCAATTTGTGATATAACACAGCTTTCTTTAACCATAGAAGTTATCGTTTACTTTAAGATACACAGTTTGAAATCCTAGAGGATCTCTGATTTACTGAATATACTAGAAAAAGCTCTTCTGTATACCCTTTCTTTTCTTCTATTAACACAAATAGGTTCTAGTTTAGTTCTCTTTTAAAATAGATTAAGTATTTTTCTTCTTACACCAAAATCCCAAATGATCATAAAATTTAGATGTTGTGATCACCTCATTGCTACCATGCCTTTGTCGGTTAGTGGATGCATAGATTCCTGACAGAGCATGGGTCCAAAAAACTGGGCAGGGTTTCTGTTAAAACCAAACAATGATAACTTGCTACCTGTACAATTTACTATCTGCATTCTCTAAGCCATAGATTCACAATTATTATGAAACACATGTGCAAATAGCAGAATGACTTTTAATTTAAAAAAAAGCCAAATTTCCATATAGATACACTTAATTTTACTCATAAATTTCATAAATACATAATGAAGGATGATGTGTCAAGCAGGATCTTCTAGAATAGGTTCTGATAAAAGACAGCAGGAGTAGTCTGTTTCTTTTTCTAATCTTACTTAAAAATACTGGCATAAGCATTTCATTTACTTAAGCCAACCTTTGGGATAATTATTTCCTTAAAAATCATCTGATGTGGCCCTCCCTGGTGGCGCAGCGGGTTAAAGCACTGCACTGAGAAGCTAAAGCCACTTCCGCATGAGTTCAAATCCCGCCTGCCCCGGAGGAGACCACATGGCGAGGCAGACCTCTCCTGACCCGCCCGCTGCTCCCCTCAGCAGTGTACTTCGTCGATCTGCCTGTTCTGCTCCCCGCTCTGTCTCTGGTGAAGCCTCTCCGCCCCTAAACCTCTGGCCTGTACCCCAGTTCTGTATGTACAAATAAATAAATCTTTAAAAAAAAAAAAATCATCTGATGTATGGACTGTCATATATTTTAAAACCACAATGCCTAGGCCCTCCCTGGTGGTGTAGCGGGTTAAAGCACAGCACTAAGAAGCCAAAGCCACTTCTGTATGAGTTCGATCCTTGCCTGCCCCGGAGGAGACCACATGGTGTGGCAGACCTCTCCTGACCCGCCCGCTGCTCCTCTCAGGAGTGTACTTCGTTGATCTGCCTGTTCTGCTCCCCACTCTGTTTCCGGTGAAGCCTCTCACAGCCCCTGAGCCTCTGGCCTGTATCCCAGTTCTGCATGCACAAATAAATAAATCTTAAAAAATATATAAATAAATAAAAAACCACAATGCCTAGGTTACATGACAAAATCCCAGATTTTGTCTTACTTGGTGTGATGGGCACCCCAGGCAGTGGCAGATGGGGGCAGGAAGGAGGGTACAACAGTCCTCTTCAAGACCAGAGATGCTGAGACTATCACTCTTAAATAATTTCACTGAAACTCTACTCTCTTTATGCTAGAGATTGGCAACTTTTTCTGTTACAGGGTAGCCCAGAGTGGACTGGGCCGCCTGTCTGTGGGGCCTCACCTGCGCGCTCACAACTCAGTTACACTGCAGGTACACACAAAAGGGTCGATAATGGGTTTATTTACAAAAAGGGGAAAGGAATAGGAAACAAACCCAGGGAAAGAGAGCGGGATACAAAGTAATTGCAATACCTTACGGCTAGGCTGACTGAATGCACCTAGTCACCCGGTCTGGAGAGCTGCTTCCCGAGAAAGAGAGCCAGAGAGAGAGAGCACTAGATGCAATCATGCCCCTATGTATCCCCCAAATGTCCCAGAATTCCTTCCTGCTAGCTCCGCCCTTGGGTCCTCGCAGTTCTCTCCCTGGTACTGCTGGGAGTTGCAGTTTCAAATCACTGGAGCAATGTGTAGGGTCCAGAAAGCTGGAATAGGGGGTGGAGTCCATAAGACTGCAGAGTTCCTTTAGGACATCCTTCCCCTTAACATTTCAACACTACAGACATACAGCTGTCAATCTTTACGAAAGTGACTACACTCAGACCCTTGTTTCGGGCAAGCTGTCTCTGGGGGCAATGGTGAATAGAACTCTTTCTTTAGTGTTCGATAGTCCCCTCTAGATTTTATATCTGCTATCATTCTACCAAAATGTGTCCCTTGCTCCAGAGTTACTGGGAATTGGGAAGTCAGAGAACAGAAAAGGTCAGCTGAAAAAACAATGACGCAGTCATCACTGAAATTTGGACAGAAGACTGTTTAGACAACAATGCTGCTGTTAATGAAGAAAACATTTGTTCTTAGGCAACCTGAAGAGAGGAGAAAAAAATCTTGCAATGTGCTGGCAGTAAATCACAGGAGCACAGCTGCCACTGGTAAACAGACTGGGATATCCGTTTCTTGACAAATAATGTGAATAAAAGTTAACATTTTAAGATAAAAATGAATGAACATGAAAGTTTGGTGGCACCAGAAATGAAAGAAAAAACTAAATCCTTTTTAATAGCTTTTTGAAGAGAGAGAATAAAATGTCCATTTTTAAGAGTTAGTCTAGAAGATTTTGAGAACGACCTAGGTTTTCAAAGGTCCTCTAGGTATACCACTAGTTGTATTACTCCGAACCATCTCTTTTCCTTGAGTGTCAATTTCTTGAAATATTATATCAACCAATCAAATGATGCACCTGTAAGCATTTGGTAAACTATAAAATATTCAACAAAAATATTTTACCCTGTGCCAAGGGTTATGCTAAGTCACCAAGATCAGGGACTTTATTTTGTTCAGAGTTCTAATTCCAGCACCAAACACAGTCCCAGAGGATGTAGGTATTCAGTCCACTGGCAAACAAATGCTTTTTTGAATTGCATTTTAATGTGTTTCAAAGTTTCAAATGTCTCACCCTTTTGTTTTCTTCAACAAATGGTAATTTTCTTACTATTTTCCTTTGAAAGGAGAATCTTGGTTGGTTAATTTTCAGATTTAATTTTAAACAGACATTCTATACAATAACATGAAAAAAAGCCATAAAGACTTAGCCATCATCCTTCATGTAATGGCAATTCAGTACACACTTCTTTTAGCTTGCTTTAACTGTGGTGACATCAGGATTAACGCGGCAAACCAGAATGTGCAGCCAGGCCCATGTGTCTGAATGTCTGATACATTTTCAATTTGTCTGGTAGAATGGAAGTTTGGCACGAAGCACTTTTGTCAAAGCCAAACCACTGTAGGACTTTAAGTAGAGGAAATTGATGTTCCGAAGCTTAGTTAGTGTGCTGGGCGTCTAATCTGTTTCTGATTGATGGACTAAGCAATGTTACCATTAGCCACCTAAAATACACTCTCAGGTTGGCCATAAAAAGTAAATTACAGGGATCATGAGATTCCAGCCATCATGAACATAAGCCTTTCATTCAGAAAAGTAGATACTTCTTCAGTAGGAAAATTCTCTGGTTAGCAGAATCACAGTATCTTTTACATAATGTTTGCCAAGCCAAAGCTAATGTATTCTAACAACTATATTAATGTATTTTCCAGAGACAATGGACTAGGAAAAATAAGCCCAGTGAATCTCAAGTACTTAGAGTGAGTGGAGACTAACTGCAACTAACTGCATTCAGTACCTCTTGGTGTAATCCACCCGTATAGATTCTGGCCTAGGCCGGTTTGACCCTAGGAAGAATAAATACAACAGCTATCCTTTTGATAACTGGATGTCCTTACCTTCAGCTCAGTGTGCCTGATTGCAATTCCATCCTATCCGTAAAATAATAAGATTCTAGTCAGCATTATTGTTCAGATGCTGTGAACTATGGATACATAAGGAAACCTAAGTTATTTAGTTAACCTAAGAATTTCCCTCTGTAAGAAGAGGATGCAATGGTCTTTAGTAAAAGCCATCCAAATCAGTATGACACAGTTTATATAGGTGTAACATTTGAAATGAAGTGTCGGTAACATTTGTTTCAGTAGCTCTTACCTTGCTCACAAAGTGCACCAACATAGCTTGGGAGACAGAGACATCTGAAGGTATTAAAACCATCAACACAGGTGGCACCATTTCGACAGGGGTTAGAGTGACATTCATCAAAATCTGAAATAAAATCAGCAAAGGTCACAGAAATATTTTCAAAACAAGTTAAATATGAGATTCTATTTTAGTGAAGGTCAGTTCCATTTGAATCTTAAATTTAAAAAATTAAATACTTTTTTAGTGTGTCCCCTAATCTAGATGAGTCATGCTGACACTTAGTATTTTTTTTTATCTGAAATTCAACTGAAGTGACCCCTTTCTAAAAAATAAAATGATATTTTATTTGAAAGATCTGGCAACCCTAAAAATAATTGTCAACAGTAATTAGAGGAAAGTCATTGTCTTTCATGCTTTTAAATAAGGACTGAAACTAAAGGGCCCTCTCACTGCAGGCCTGGCTCAGCTGGGGTTGGTTACCAGTCTGTTAATTCAGAGAACAATTAACTGGCCTCACTGCTTCAGGCCCATCCTTCACTTTGATTGTCATGATAATTTGGTTCTTTGGCTTCCAATCCTTCCACAGATCCCAACTGCCCAGACAGTGCTCCAGTCAGGGTGGCCTGGGCCTCACAGAGAATATTAGAAATACATGTTCGCGGGCTAAGTCCAAACCCACTGAAACAGATGCAAGAAGGGTGCAAACGCAAGTCCATGTTTTACCAAGCTCTGCAGGTGATGATCATGTGTGCGAAAGTCTCAAATCACGCCATTAGAGTATGAAGTAAAACTGCTCGCTACACTGGATTCAGGACCTTCTCCGCCATATATCAACCCCCTTTATAGTGTTCTCTCCTAATGTTCCCCTCCCACAAACCCCAAAGTAGGCATACCTGAAAGCCCTACAGTCACCCACATATATTTGTGCAGTTGTGGTTTCTGTGCTTTTGACGTGTCTAAATCTCCTGAGACTGTAATTTCTGGTTTTCAGATCTACCACAACATCCTCCCAAACTTTAAGATCAATATTAAATGCAAAGTTTTTACACAGATTTCCATGATCTCCACTGATGAACATGATGAAATATCTATCTTTATTTTCCAGATCCAACTTGAATTAGTCTATGATTTTTAAACTTCATTTAACAGTATAATTCACCTAAACAGGGCTGTCTCTGAAGTTCTTTTATTGATTTAAGTAATGCAAATTTCTCCCCAATATACATTCTGAAAACTACCTTCTTTAGTCAAGAACATCTTACCGAGTTCACACTGATCGCCACTGTATCCTGGCACACAGGTACACACATAGGAAGTCTCAGTAGGATAACAGGTGCCTCCATTAAGGCATGGATTCGTTTTGCAACGATCAGGTCCTATCATGTTCAGGAAAATTAAAAAAAAAAAAAGTAATTAGAGTCATTGCTAAGTTTCAATGCATTTTAGCATAAAATGTCACTTATTGCTACCATAATGCAAGCTTTACCATAGCAATTTAGAAAAACTACACATAAAATTTAACATTAATTTTACTTTCTGGAGTGCTTCTTGGCATGATAGCTAATTGTTACAAATTGCATCTATTCATTTCCTGGATTTATTTTTTAAATTATTTTTGGTACAGTATCTGGCAACTAGTATCCTCTAATGCAGATTTAGTTGGCATGATAATGGCAATTGATTTTAGTCAAAATGATTACACATATGTGCACAGTGAATGGAAAATGTATTCTTTTAAACGAGGTTAGTTCATGTGAAATGGCTGGATACACAGAACATGCATTCTTTTTAGCAGATTGTCTTGTTACCATCATTTGAATTATTATTGCCTTTTACCACTTAATGCTCAGAAACTGTGTTTCTTCGAAAGTGTGCACTGAAGTCTCTTCTGCTACATTAATATGCTTTTTCCAAAAACACGTTCCAAATGTACTCCTTTAAACTATACTTGAAGAAAAGCAACACATGGATTAAATGCTACTGTATACAAACAAATACAAACACCTAACCTAAAATGAAAATCCCACTTTTTATTACAGTTTCTCATAAAACACAAATAAAATTGACACTCCAAGCAGATAAACAGAAAGGCAAGAGATAGATTTATGGGAAGAAACAGTTTAAAAAATATTTCTAAACGCACAAACTGTAACACTAGTTGAAGCATATATTTTACGGCATACTATTACATGGGTAATTGCATTTATATTAACAGCTTGTATTTATTATTTGAAAACTTTCTCAGAATTGTGTAAGTTTTAAAATGTCCAGCAATTGAAATTTTACAAAATAACCGAATAAATGGGTTAGATAATGAAATAAAAATCTTATCTTCAGAAAGCCCCCAGCCCTGAAATGATTAACGCATGAAAAAAAATAAGAAGTTTACTTATGAAGTATGAACTAAAGGAAAATCCAGATAATCAAGGAACTGTTATAGAAGCTAATTGAGCCTTTCCCACACAGGAAAGTCAAACTCAAACTTTCCAAGTGTTAAGTAAATTCTGGACCATTAGAAAAAATTGACAGATATACATTTGCATGTGGAGTTCAACTTTATAATGAGGTTAATTCAGGTGCTTATTACTACTCAAAAATTAGTCCAATTTTTTAAAAGACGCTCATAGAGCTCTAAAAATATTTAGAATCTTAGTAGTTTTAGCTTTCTTTCTGCCTTTGAAAGTACTGCCTATATCACAAGACTACAGTTAAAATACATGTCACGCAAATGGGAAAGTATTACTAGCATTCCCACCACAGACACGGGTAATAGGCGGAAAGGGGATTAAGGGCTTGGCAAGAACATGTTCCTTCTGTGAACTTAAAGTAGCTTGGATTGGGAGAAAAGTTTTGTTTTCATGATTTCATTCTACCCTAAATCAGCTTGTTTTAATCTCCGAAAGTTGAATCTGTAAAGAAGAAACCAGGATATGTATTGTGAGCTCCTGCTTACTAAATTAATGTAAAGTGACAATTTATTTTGCAATGAAGTCGCAAGTTCTAATCTTAATAAACTTGGTGGACTGTTAACTGGTACACATTTCTCCTTCATTTGTCGACCCTAACTCTCCTGTATATGTATATAATGATATAGAAGTATATATACAATGATTTCCAGACCTTATTTTTTACCATTCTGATGCATATTTCAGTTACAGAATAATAAACACTGGCCAGATTACTGTTATTATTTACAGAATAAATACAGAGTGAAAACAAACAAAAGCCCATCAACCACCTTTGATTGACTTTATTCATAAAATACACTAGCTATATAACAATACTTCAAGTCATTTGCTCTTTGTAACTACTTTCCTCTACCTAGAGCACACCACATTGAAGTATTAATGGCTCAAAAGATGCCACCCCTGATAAAATCAGAAGAATAATTCTAAGTATAGCCATGCCATAAAACATATTCATAAAGATAAAACAGATTTTCAACTAGCAAAGCTCTTAGAGTACTAAGGCAGGTAGGTGGTGATGAATATACATAGATTCCACTCAGGTCGTATTTAAATAATCTTCCTGGAAAACTTCATTAAAGTGGACTTTTCAACATAGTAGGCTTAATTAAACAGAAAATGAATTCTACCAAGGAAGTATTTCAAGATTTCTGGTTTAGATATTATTAAATATCAATGGTTAATCTTTACAGCTTGTTAATAGGAAACCAGCAAGGGACAGTAAAAAGACCATTTCCACTTTGCAACAGAAATGACCAAGGTTCAGATCTCACTTTTGCTACAGCATGTGTTGCTGTGCAAACTCAGGCAAATTATAGAAGCTCTCTGAATCCTCCATCCTACCCTTTTAAACAGAGATAATCTTTTTTATAACCTGTTTGTAAAATCAAGCTAAATAGCCTAGATAAGGCATCATCAAATTACTGCTTTCTGAACTTTCAGTAAAGATATAGAAACCCTTTCTCAACAGAGGACGAGTATACACTGAATAAAAACCACCAATAGCTAGCCCCTGTTAGATAAATATGTAGACTATCTCAAACAAGGAAATTATATGAAAGTGTGAACTGATAACTGATATTTACAAACCATGTGAAATATTTATTAGAGCTATCTACTATTCTCAAATTTTAAAGGCTTAATAGGTTTTCATTTGCCGCCTTAATAGCACCTATCAATGAGAGATAGGGTGTTTTGTGTATTTTTAAAAAAGAGATGCATTTAAGTATGAGATATATTCAATATAACACAGCAACACTACAGTTGCAAGTAAAATCAAACTGAGCTTTTACATCATTAACAACTTTCATTTTTTTTCTATGTGGCAACTGTCTATTGTTCCTAAAACCTAGAAAAACACAAACAATATCTGTAAAGCCATAAAAATAAACTGTACTTACTTTGTATCTCAATATTGTGGTCTGTCCTGCTGTCATGTGAACAATATAAAAATCTCCATTGATTTAACAACACAATAGAAGGTATATATTTATATATGTTAGGACCAAGGGACTGTTTCCAAATCGGGAAACAGATTTATCAATGGTGTGACCTTACCTGGTAAATAAACTGCTGTGCCTTCCACTGACTCTTCATTAATGCCAACCAGGAAACCGGTATCATTAGAAGTTTCCAGAAAAGAAAATGATGGTGTAAGCTCAGTATTTAACTCCACAGTATTTACTCTTGCCTGGTTATTGGAATCAACAATTCTCACTGATACTTGCTGTTCTGATGTTGCTACAGTGGAATCCTTCTCTCTACCCAAAACTTGGGTTTCAGGGTTTCTTTCTAAAGGAGAAAGAATGGTGGCTTTCTCAGAAGTCTGTGGCCTGGGCTGAGGCACCACACTGGCCTCAACCTGGTAAACTGCAGAGGCAGAAATAGAAGGTGGCCACAGTGTAGCACCTTCTGACTTAACTTTGCTTGTAGCTGTGACAACATCTCCAGCCTTGGGTATTCTGCTACTGGGAAACACCTTGATTGTGTCTCCAGAAAGTTCAATATTGTTTTTGTTTTGGAGATCTGGGGTGATCTCAGTTCCTTCTTCAGCGATTAGTTCTGTGGGAGAAATTTCCATTTGTTCTAATAACTGAGGTTTGCTGTGATCTTCTGAAGATGCTAATTCTGTGACAGGAGATGAGGACGGAGGTTCAGTTACATAAAAGTACTTTTTATTTAAAGGTTTGAAAGTTGCTTCAACATTTGCAGGTTTTCCTGGGAACATTTGAGAAGTGCTGGCATCTGAGACTGGCAGAGCCCTAGGCTGCAGACCTTCCGTGTGTTCAGAGGCTCTGCTGCCTGAGGGGACAGTGAACGGAGAAGATGGTGTCTGGGAAGACAACTTTGCGAAACCTGAAACTGCTGATGTTGCATCAGTGTAATCTGGGGGATTGAATCCTTCCAGTACAGTAGGTGCCTCTGTTAAACTCTGAGCCATAAGGTGGGGAGGACTAATACTTACAGGAGGTGTGGGATCTATCAGTGCCTCCTCAGCTCCTGAAGAGAATTCTGGCTGAAAGGAAGGACCTACAAATTTCTTTTCTGCATATTCACCTTGTGTCTTTTCCAAATGACTCAATGTTGCTATAATTTCACTCTGGTCTGCAATTGCTTGCCCATCAGACAAAGTGCTTGATTCAAAGACGTCTTCCACGGCACTTTCTTCAACTTTTGGTTCCTCAATCTTGGGATTAACTGTGGCAGAATTAGTAGGAACAGGCAAGGATGTTACTGTAGGAAGAGACATATCTAACTCATTTTCTGTGCTAAGGGTAGGGACCCCAGTTGTGAAGACAGAGCCCACATAATCTAACTGGTTTCTATCTTCAGAAGTCAGCAACTCATGATGTGTTGCCTGAGTATAGCTAGCCAGAATATCACCAGAGCCTTCAAAGTTTTCCTCAGTTGAAGAAAGATTAACAACTGTCTCATATTTCTCCTGAACTTGAGGGTTTTCTTCATTACTGTCATGCGGCCCTGATGGCAGTTCTGATTCTATGTCCGTCTGCATTCCAAGTATGTCCTCATACACAGGCTTAGTGTGATCAATATCAATGATAGTGTTTTTATCTGATGTCAGCTCAGGGAGAATTTCAAGAATTGTACTCTCTGTGATTGTCAATATTAAATCTTTGTCCTCTTTGTCCAGATCTATAATAATATTTTCAGTGGCTTTTCTCCTGTCAGGATTTAAAGTGGACTCCTCGAATCCCACGAGATAGTTTTGGAAACCACCTGCCGTGTCTTCTGTGGACTTCTCATAAGACATTGTACTTGACATTGTTCCATTTGGATCTGAAGAGCTTTCATTCTGTTCTGAATAAAGAGGCAGCATTGACACTGTCGGGAATGCATCAACAGTAACAGCTTTGGCTCTTGGAAGCTCAGGAAGTTTTTCCAAGGATCTATCAGAAACAAATGTGGTGCTTCTTTGCCTGGTTGCCTGAGTTGTTCCAATAGTGTGGACTAAATCAACCGTATCCAATTCCCCAGATCCTTCACCAGAATGTTCATAAAATAAGTGAGATGATTTTGGTGCTGATGTAACAGATCCTTTGGCCATTTCCAGACCGTATGTTCTATCCAGAAAATCGGTGGAAAAGGTTGTTGTTTCTTTAGCTTCTGCTGTTGAAGAATTCTCAATGGAGACATGTTCGGTCATAGGTTGTAGACTACCAGTTTTAATTTCCCCAGCCCAACTGTGAGTCTGACTTTGAGGCTGCTCAGGGTCTGTGGAAAAAGTGAAAGGTGCCGTTGTGTGTCCTTCTGTTCTGATGTCACTTAAAATCTCAAGTAAAGTTGTGCTGGCCACTGTCTTGCTGTTTTTGGAGATGCTGTCTGTCTTGGAAATAAGGGAGCTGACTTCATTTTGCACATTTTTCATTCCCTCATAGTCTTCAGTTACATCACTGAAAATGCTTGTTTCTACGCTTCCCAGTTGAGAAGTTTGGGTATCTATCGTGTGAATGATTTTTTCCATTTCAGTGATGCTTTCTGATTCAGCAGTAGGCAAAATTTCCCCTGATCCCAGTCCAGAGAATAAAAGATCAGTATCTGACTCTTTCATTATTGGTTTTGTAACTTTGGAAGATTTTACACTTCCTTCCTCTTTTACTGGTAGATCTGTAATTATAATTTCAGCTGGTATAGATTTAGTCACTGAGGTAGCAGCTAAGAAAACATCAAATTCTGCGGTAACTTCAGGGAGAGTAGTGTATGGTTCCAAACCCTTTGCATATGGATCTGGAGTAGAAATGTCAGCTAAAGAAGAGCCTCTCGCCTCCACTTCCTCAATGTTAATGCCAGTTGTGTTCATTGTTAGTGTAGAATAATCTGTGGTTCTAAGTCCAGTGTCAGTAAATGTTTGTGAATCAAAATTTGCTTGTTCCATAGTTTGGGGAAAGCCCACTGAAACTGTGCTAAAGGCCTTCACTTCCTCCTTATCTGCTGCAGCTTCAGTAACTTCAGCTTCCACTGTTGGTAAAATCGTTGATCTTTTATCAGCTTCACTGATTGTATCTACTTGTTCCCATCGTTGGCCAGCAAATGGAGATTGTATATCAGATATATTTCCCACAGCACTGGGAAACACTTGGTCAACAGAGCTACCCAACTGCTCACCCGAACCCTCAGCTGAGGCTGTGAACTCTTCCCAGGTGGATGCAGATGCAATGACCAAGGGATTTCCAGGTTTTTCTGAGTCAATTATGTGACTGATGGTATCTGAAACAGGTATTGCAGATGGTTGAGTCTGGGTATCCTTAAATGCTGCATCCCCAGAGCCCCCTGGCATTGCTATTTCTCCTTTTCTTATGGGATGAGAGATTGTTGAATATTCTCCTAAGTCCCCACTGAAATCTTCCTCCAAAGGAAAACTGGTAGAGAAATCTTTTATTTCTGCCCCATGAGTAGGCTCTCCTGAAACTTCTGAGGTCAAGTTGTCCTTGGATGTTTGGCTTATAATTTCAGCAACTTCTCCATCCATGACAGTGCTCAAATGTAGTCCTGTTGACTCAAAGGGGGATAAAGTTTCCATCTGAGGAGATAAAGTAGCAGCTGCTTCCTTTCTGGTTTGAATTTTGGGCTCTAATGTTAATGAAAATGAAGAAACAGTGGTGATTTCAGGGTCAGCAGCTACTTCTCCAGAGCCCTGCTCCAAAAGGGAACCACCTGGGACAGTGGCCAGCTCTTGTGGAACCCCAGTTTGAACACTAGAGCTCGGTGCAGTGCTCTGTGTCTCCAGCTTATCTAAAATATTTGGTTCTGTCAAGACAGGAGTAGAGTTTGTCATTTCCTTTTCAATCAGTGTGGGTGTTGCCAAGGACATAAAATTTTTCCTGGTAATTGATGCTAAGTCACTAGGTGTAGCTTCATTTATGCTTTCTAATTCAGAAGGTAGCATTAATTGATCCGATTGCTGTGTGGATGAAAGCACCTCAACTGTCAAAGCCATGGCTGTGGGTCCCTCCTCTTCAACTTTCTTTATCTTTCCCTCAAGCGATGGACTGAAAACCCGCTCAGAAGTGTCTGTTCCCCTTTCAAATTTGGTAGGCACTACTGTAGGAGGTTGTTCAGAAGCTGAATAAATAGTAGTTGCAGGAACATCAAGAAGGTTTTCTGTGATCATTATATTGCCAGTACCTAAAGTAATGAGTGTATCTGTAGTATTTCTCTGTGACAAATTGATTACCATGGTGGACATTTTAGCTTTATCATCTTCTGAGTCCCCTGAACCTTCTGGAATTGAAATTGAAGGACTTCCTGAAACCTCTACAGTTTGTCTAGGTGTTACTTCCACCCAGCTTTCTATGGTGGACTGTGAATCACCCGAATGTGGATTCCTGGTTAAGATAACTGAGACATCCTCTGAAACATTTGCCGACACAGAACTTGAGACTAAAGTTGGAGTAAATGTGACAGAAATGCTTTTTTCTGCCTTTTTACCAAATGTTACTTCTGTAGCCCTTGAAAAGAACGATCTCTGAGATTCTTGGTTAATGGAAGCATCTCCTGAATACTCTTCAGGAAAGAGAGGTGCAGAATTGGTATGTTCAGGCATCTGATTATCAAGTTCAAGACCTCCCTCTGTGACTGATTCTGGTCTTTCTGAGGTTTCTCCTTCATGGAATGGAACTGTGGGGAAAATGTCAGGTTCACCACTTGAAAAATGTTCTGGAATTTCAGGGTGAATCTCAGGCATCCATGTGATTTCAAGTGATTCAGTTGTTTCTTTAGAGTCACTAGGCTGTGAGTCAGTAGACAATCCAGTTTCAGTTATTACAAACTGAGAAGTCTCACTTTCACTGCTATCTGAAAAGTTTTGAGAACGTGCAACACTTTCAAACTGGCCACGCCTAGCTTCTGCCATTTCTGGGTCCTTGGGCAGAGCAGTGACGAGATGCTTCCCATTTATATACTGTACCGAAGGGGTGGTTGTTACATCAGTAGCATTTTCACAGTCTTCATCTTCATCTTCGTCATCTTCACTGTGATATATATCTATTTCAATGTACTGAGGCAAAATTAGATCGTGCTCTGCATCAGTTTCTTCACTACAAGGTTCATCTTCTTTAGATTCTGAATCTATTGGATGACCAATCATACTCAAATCACTCATTCGACCTGAAAAAAACAAAGAGTTTTCACAATACTTAAATGGAAGATTTGGCAGTGCACAAAATCGATAGCAAGGTTGGCTGATCACACGTATACACACAGAGAAAGAGTCAAATCTTTTCACAGTAAGTGCAGTCACCTTCATTGCATGGTCCTCAGTCTTCAAGTTTGCTGTTTTATATTAACAACAGGGAAAAAATAAACCCAAGTTAAGATTAAAGGAAATAGACATCGACATATTTAACAAAACAATATCCTTAAAATAAAACAGGGAAATGAATATATACATTGTTATGATGAAATGTGGCGATTCACCTTTGTGTGAACTGAAAAAAAATTTAAAATTCAGACCATTTCACCAGCTCATACAGAAAAAACAACTGAGTATTGTTCTTTAGATATGAAGATGCTCAGACACACTATTCAATAAGAAAATGAGGCGAGATTCCTTTAGAACGTTTGTCACAATCTGTTCAAGAGAAAGCTGTTTAGAAAAATAAAAGAGAAGTTTCTTTTGGACCTTGTCACACTTAATTTGCAATGTCTCCCCAGTGCAACAGTGAGATAAGACAGTCATACACACTGCAGCTGCATCCCAGATGCAAGAGCAGGAAGTCCTGGATGAGGGGGTCCTGTGCAGGGATAATTCAGTAAAAGTACCAAAAAGAAGATTCTTCCACATCTTTACCCCCTTATCCTTTATGAGACATGCTCTGGATTGTCTCAATTAAAGTTCTTTTCCTAAACATTTTCTCCAAAGGGCATTCAAGAACCATTTGAACTATCATTTGAAATAGCACATATTCTTAGAGCATTCCCTAGATTGTAGGTTGCCAAAGGATACCAACTACTATGCCCAAGTGACATTTATGCCTCCAATAAAGCTCCTTGTCTGGGTATAGGGCTTTGCTCTCATCACAGTGGAATTCTGTTATTCTACCAGAAGGTCCTGCTACTACGGCAGCCAGCCCCAGAGGCATGGCAGAACACAAAGGTCCCCAAGGACTGCTGAGCCGTGAAAAGACAGAGAAACAGAGAGTATACAGGAATCTTGTTCCTATCCATGTCATGCTTATTTATGCTGAACCTGAGAACTTGCAGAAAGAGTAATTATGACGGAGCCATCCTGTCCTCAAAAGACTGTTACTGTTGTAAGGAGTAGCTCCCCTCTATGTATGAAAGGATCGCATCTAACATTATGGTAAGCTGGAAAAGGAAAAACTCTATTTATACGGTTTACATTCTTTATGTGTTAGCATAAACATAGAAGTGTATGAACTATCAACAAAAACACAACAGGAGCTCAAACCATAACTAAAAAAGAAGAATCCCTATTTACATTTATCCCTTTTACTCTTCTGTTTCCAATCACATTTTTAATGTATTGTTTCCATAAAATACTATTCGCATGTTGCATAGGGTTGGCTTTCTCTCTCTCCTTCTTGTTTGACTTTCACACATTATATTTCATTTCTTACATAGCCATCCTGTTCACTCTCTTCATTAGCTCTTTTCAATTATGTAAATAAAGGCTGTGGATATTCAAATGGATGCAAGATTTCTAGAATAAGAGACGTGAGATCAGTGCCTATCTCTAGTTTAATATAAAAATGTGTGAATTTATGATTTTTGCCATAGATGTTGCATCAATTTCTAATTGCTAAACTTAAAATACTAAATACCTTACCTTTTCCCAAAATAATATAATTAAAAACTAAGCTCAGTCACTAAACCAGTTACTATAAACTTAACAGTCACTAATGTGTATATGTTTTAAAGATATCACAATGAAATATTTTAATAATAACACCTTCTTAGATGGCTTACATTTAAGTCTACCTTTCACTATTATGAAAGACTATGAGAACTACAAATAATGTATGTAATTGTGTATAGGCTTAATAAAGTTTTGAATGAGGGTTTTGTTAATTGCCTGGGGCTTTGAAGTTAATTTGCTAACCCTTTGAAGAGAATCTGCTGACAGATTCTCTAAATTAATTTGCAATTTATTTTTAGTTGGAGAGTTTTCCAATGTTTGAAATGTCATGGGGATTATATGGTGAGTACACTCTGATATGAGCAGGTGAATCCTCTCAGGCTACCCATACTTCTATTATTATGACTGTAACTCTCACCCATGTTTCTACTTGCTTATTTGGGTTTAGTCAGTCTCTGAAATTTTTCTTCATTGCCCCCACTTCCCCATTCACATTACTAGAGAATTGCAAGAGCTGTAATTATTGCAAACCAGAAACATTTCTTTGCAGGGTATGTTGGGGACACCTGTGCTCTACTGAAAATAGCTACTTCATTCCAAAATCATGACCTGCTCTATATTGTACTAACAGAACTACCTAATAGAGTAATTCTTGTTCCTAGCTCTTACATGAACAAGTCATTATAAGAGACTGCTCTATTTTAAAATCTTATTCTAAAGATAATATAACTTTTATTTGAATTTTAAGAGTTAAACCACAGAATTCTACAAGGTGTATGCATAATCTTTTCTGTGTTTATATGAAGCTATTTTAATAGCTTGACGTGAGCATACTAGAACCATGGTTAATAGATCTTTTAATGGTATTTTACACAAAGCTTTATTGCCAGCTGACCTCAGATTATTCACCACGTATTTTTAAGCACTTCATGGCAAAGTTTTGTAGACACAGTACAAGTCTTCCAGTCATACTGGAAGCAGACACAAAACATAGTTGCTAAGATGCATAAGCAGCTGGGTGAAGTTCATGTTCTCTTTAGGGAATCTTACAACTTAAGTTTAAGAGCTTTTAATTAAATTTAAGTGTATACCAATATACTCAGTGGGGATATATTAAGATCACATTTCTTTATTAAAATAGATTTCATTTTAATGTGCAACAAAAAAATGCCTTGTTTATTTTAAAGTTATAATAGACAACCATATCGAAATGCTTGAGAAACACTTACAAAATTTAAATAAAGTTTGTAGTGCTTTCAATGCTTATTTTCAACACATACTTACAGCTCCATTCACTAGACAAACAAATGTTTCACTTTCACTCACTTTTAATATGTTCCTAAATAAAACCAAATGCTACCTGACACCTTACACAGGAAGAAAAACACCTAGTATGATCTTAACCAATTGACTCAGGTATCCTAACTCCCGAACAGCTTCAACATTTGCGACCATAAACATGGTACAAACTCAGGATGTTAAAAAAAAAAATTGACAGTAGTAATCATGATATAAACACCCTCCTCAAATCTTGTCGAATGTTTATGCATTCTTCATCACCTTAATAAGTAAAAATTGTGATACTTATATCATACTCAATCCACGTAAAGATAAGAAAGATTAAAGACTAGGAGATCAATATTGAATTACATGATCCCCACTCCACACTAGTTCTGCTGACTGAGGTACATTCGGTTCACCACCCAGCATGCTATCTTAAACTGACAGCCTCATCTGGCGGAGCAAGGAGCCCAATTTTTCTCAATACATGAATTTTATACTCAGAAAAGGCAATATATGAGTATAAACAATTTAAGCATTTCTGGTGGCCTTGCTTTCAAGAGAAAAACATGTTATGGGGATGATAAATGAGGGTAATTTCTCTTCTCAATTTCAAATAACCCTCTAATAATACTGTTCCTTCAAGTGGAAAGAATATGTTTTGATAGAGTCATCAGCTCTAAGTGCACTGAGGAAGTGTGGGCTCTTCTTCATTACAAAAAAGGCCCCAGGTACTTCAAAACCCCCAGTTTTTAAGGAGTAATGGCTTTCCTGGAGGAATAGCACGATCAAGGAATTTGGCACTTCGGAGCATCTCTGAACAATAAGATGAGCTATATGAGAGAGAATAAGCCAGATTGTTTTTGTTTTTAAATGTTTCCTGAAAAGTAGAACTAGTAAACTCAAGCCAATCATAGGGCAATACTTTCATTATCTTTTGTTTTATTTTCTTTAACATTGTCAAACCATAGATAGACAGGCGGACAAACAGATAGAAACCAGATATCCTAAAACCAGAAAGTGCTTTGGTCACATCAAAAATATAAAATTTAAGTTAAAAAGTCTCACTAAAGTAAAATAAATTATCTCCCACATGTAAGCATGTGTATATTTCATTCAAAGCCCCCCAAACTATAGCTACTTAGCTAAACTTTACCAAACACTGCTTTACCTTTAAGTATGACCACTCTCTTCTTCAAAAGTCAGGAATAACTAGTTTCCAGTCATCTCCACCTGATCTCTTCATTGCCATCAAGTGACCCACATCTATCATTGTCATGTATATTGTTGCCTATCACTCTCTGCCTAGTACATCCCCTGAAGCTCTTCATTGAACCCCAGCAACTGATGTTCCTATCCCATATCCTCCTCTTCCCCATTTCAGGCAGGTAGTCAAGAAGGACTCTCCTCAACTTGGATTATTTAATTACCTTCCTTCAAATTATTCGTGTTGAAGATACAGTGACCCAAAGTATCTCTCTAGAATTTCTCACTGTAAATTGACTGTATCTTTCATTGTATGCCATGGGATCTAAGTCATATTGTTTCCTATTTATAAGTTCCCTATTTGTTTTATATTTTGGTCTCCCTTGTTTTATATTTTGGTCTCCCTTATGTTCCACAGTTAGAATGAAGAGATCCTTTAAACACATGATGCTTTTTATACTCTACCTTCTTAACCCAATTTGGGGGAATTGGTTGGAAAACTATCTATGCTGTTATTTATCATTGAAAAAGAAAAAGCTTACGTTCTATTAGATTAACAGCTCCCTTCAAAAGATTTGCATTTTGAAATGAAGAAATTGTTGTTCTTTGGCTATTTAAACAGATCAAATTCTAAGGTACATTCAAGAACCAGATAACTCAAACAATAAAAATGTTTACGATTAAAAATACCCAGGCAATTTGGATGGGCAGACACAGTTTGAATATTTTTACTATCACTCATTTTCTTTCTCAATCCAGAAGTCCACGTAGGCTTGTATCAGGGTAAAAAGCACTCACAGTT